AGCAAAGTAATCGAAAAATTTTCAATCAAGTATCACTGTTTTGAGATTCATAGAGCTTCAGATGGTGATGACAAACTTGAAACAAAATAAAATATTAAAACCGTGCTTAGGAGAGCATATGAGTAAATCACCTATGTTTTCGACTATATGAAATTCTAATTGCCCTGATTTCAGATCTCAGAACCGCGTACAGATTATACACTGAAATAAATGCACGCTCTCACTTGTACGAACGAATAGATTACACAGTTACGTTAATAACAAAAAGGCTTTGAAAACAACCATCATGTCTGAATTTGTGAGGTGCTAGGAGACAAACGGAAATTAGTATGAGAAAAAACATGAAAATTTATCATGGGTGACTGCTTTTGACAATGTATCGAACCAGGAGTGAAAACTAAGTCGTTCGATTCATATTTTAACATAACGTCATTCTAACATAGTTTCGATATTATTTTCAGCCCCCGATGGCAGCAGAAAAAAGTATCCTCGCACAGCCACTCACTTTTTGAATTCTTCATACGAATGCAAACAAAGGTTTTCGTCTCCACCAGCAGTGTTTGATGAGAAATACCAAATTTGCGGCTATCCTGAAAATCCGTTGGTTACAGTTGCTCATGTATGACGATTACTTTTGATCTGCAGGTATTCTCGGTTGAGCGACTAAATAATGTTTCTTACTCTAGGGCGATTCTGGTGGACCTGTTGCTCGCGGAAACATTTTACTGGCCGTGGTTGAGAAGATCGCGAGATATCCAACACCTGGTAGCATTGTGGTATTCTCTGACGTTCGAGCCTTTGCTGCATGGCTGAAACAGGCGGTGAAGCATTTGCCGAATACTATGATGCATGGCGTGTATGAGTTACCTTTCGGAGGTACACCACATTACTTGTCGTCGATGGAGCCAGTCGGATATTAGGCATCGTTGCAATCGATAGTAATAAATTGCCCTTTCAAATTAAGGAATGAACATGGTTGTTACTGTCAACAAATGAATGAAAGTTAACATTTGAAAGTTTGCTGCATGACGAATGCTGCAACAGAATCTTGCGAAGCAGCACAGGCAATTTGAAAATTCACAAAATGAAACAGGAAAAACAATAAACAACAATAAAGGAAACTATGGATATAATTCGAAGCCGGCGTATTATGCGACAACCATGTTATCTAAGAGGGAATCATATTCTTTAATATTTTCAAATCAGTGTTGATGAGCGTACTATAAGCGTATCTCTGAAGTGATTGTTGGACTGCCGTGCTAGGCAGGAAAATTTACGTTCAACAACCGGCCGTACATGAAGAGAGACTGTTAGCGACACATCCTACTGATCATTTTTGTCGTAATGTGGACGCATAGAAAGCACTGTGTGGACAACTAGCGCTATAGTATCATGATCGTGCTTTGCAACGTGCCCGCAGCTACCTTTGTCGCGATGAACTACCGTATCCAGAAAAACAAGCCACCGATATAAACAGAACAATGGTAGTGTCTGCTTTTACAATCGTGCTGTGTATGTCACCTTCATACTGCCACTCCACCACGACCTGCAATAATTATATTTATGATATGAAT